ACTTACGAATAGACCTTGCCACAGTTTCCGAAATAAAGACAATAATTAAAAAATTACCGAACAGAAAAGCACCAGGACCGGACGGACTACAAAACATAATACTTAAACAACTGCCGACGAACGCCTACATTATACTTACCCGGATAATAAATAGAATAATGATAAAAGGCTGCTTTCCCGCTTCTTGGAAAACCTCCACCATATTTCCAATAGTGAAGCCAAGGAAACAGCCAGACATACCACAGAACTACAGACCGATCAGCCTCCTCAACACAATGAGTAAGGTAGCCGAAAAGGTACTACTCAAAAGACTTAACAAACACATAAGACACAACAAAATTATACCTGACACACAATACGGATTCAAAGAACGACACTCCACACACACCCAAAACTCATAGAGAATACAGTTCTCAATTTCAACAGACGAAACCATACCGGATTGGTGTTACTTGACTTTGAGAAGGCGTTTGACACCATCTGGATGGACGGACTTGTACATAAACTTATCCAACTCAACTTTCCACCTTACATAACGAGAACTTTACACTCATACCTCTCAGACCGTAACTTCACCGTACAAGTAGACAACGGACTTTCGACGGTTAAACAAGTGACGGCGGGAGTACCGCAGGGCTCGATCCTGGGACCGTCCTTGTTTAACGTCTACATTCACGACATACCCACTGACGCCGACACAACGTTACTGACGTTTGCTGACGACACTGCCATATACAAATCATCACGATCACCGACGCTACTGACTACAAAGATACAGACACACATAGACAAGCTGACCGAATATACTGACAAATGGCAGATCAGAATCAATCCGCAAAAGACGGAGGCAATTTTATTTACAAAGAGCCGAAATGCCACGACTAGACTGACTGACTTGGTCAAAATTAAAGTATTGGACTGTGAAGTTGAGTGGTCGAAGGATGTCAAATATCTTGGTGTGACCCTGGACCATAGACTCAGCTTCACAAAACATATTAATACAAAAATTGGACAGGCTTACGGGATGTTAAATCTACTGAGACCTCTCCTGAACCAGAACAGCCCGCTAAGCGTGAAGAACAAGCGAACACTTTACTTGACACTAATAAGACCGATACTGACATACGCCGCTCCGGCATGGAACGCGACGACTAAGACTAACTTACGGAAACTACAGACATTACAAAACAAGACACTACGACTCGTACTTAACAAAATAAGGGACCCACTGACTAGACATTACTACTCTTCAATACATACACAAACAGACTGACGTACCGACCATACTAGACTATATAAAAAAGCTCACTGAAAATTTTTATCTAAAATGTGGGGATCATCCTAATGTTAACATCGCGGGCCTCGGCCAATACACAAGAGACGATATTTGGTATGGCAATCACGCCATGCCAAAATATATACTGATCGACCCATAGCGGCAATTGATACTTGGATGAGAATAAATCTTTTATTTTGTTTTTCTTTTTATTTGTATAATTAATTATTATTATAAATATTGCTTTGTGGTTTTTTTTTGGGAGAAAAAGTTTCTTTCCTCTTTTTTGCCACACGATTTGTTACACATCTCACTGTGTTCACAATATTAACTGTATATTTTTAGATCAATTATGTAATATAAAATACCCATGGGTAGTAAAATATGTGATAACTAACAATGCAAATGTATGATCAACTATTGAAATAAATACTTTTTGTCTGTCTGTCTGTCACAAATAATTAAAAATTATTTTTTAAAAAATATATAAATATTTATGTAATTTTTTGACTGTTAAAACAGTTAAAATTAATAGGAAGAGGGGCGCTAGATAAAATGTTGCATGCAGGCGCTAAGACCATGACTATAACCTACCCTACGGTTAGTAGGGCAAGTTATAATGTATATCGAGTTATTATTAAAAAAATGTAATTTAGATATTATTACCAGTAAAAACAATTAATATACAGTACGATATAATGAAAAATTATGGGCAACATTCTGGAAGCAATTATTTTGAGTAAAAAAATCCAAGGTGTGTAAATCTAATTGTACCTTTCCGCAGATACTATTAATCAATTCTTTCTCAATTTGTAATACTGTTTAAAAGACTGCAATTTCCAATACGTATAAATTACGTTACAAATTACAAATGCAGATGATGAATATTTGTGTGATGAATTTGGACTATATTCGCTAGTGGTGCATGGCATCGTGCCTTAAGTGAAATTGCTGAAACTTCCCGTACAAGAATTTAATATTCGAGAAAAAAAATCAGTAATTAATTAATATTGATCAATGATCAATGACAATTGCTTTAAACATTTTCAAATATGCATTTATAATCACTATATATTTTATCGTTCATAAAATATACAGTGACGATGTTTACGCTCAAAACACTTGAGAAAGTTTACATTTATGCGCCGAATAAATCCATCTAAGGATATATTTCTTACGATTAGAATAACGAAATTGAAATATTTTCAAACTGGTTGGTAAATTTAAAATTCATATTTGAAGTATAAAACTTTGTATATTTTTGGAAAATAGGAAAAAAAAAATCTGAAAATTTTGAAATGTGCTTGAACTGTATAAGTAAACTTTAAAAATTAACAATCTTGGTACGGAAGCCAACAGAATTGTAAAAAAATTAGTACTAATTTTTGAAAATTGTATCAAATATCTGATAATTTGATGTGCATATGTCTAAAGCCGGCCGCAGACATTACTTTATGAGTGTGCAACTGAGTGAATGCGCAACCAAGCGTATTTTCACAGTGCCCGCAGACGGCTCGAATTTTGGTTCAAGTGTTTGCTCATGCATATCAAGCGTACCAACTAAAGCCGGCCACAGACCTAACTGTATATATGTGGAACTGAATGAATACGTAACCAAGCGTATTTTCACAGTGGATGGATCAAATTTTTGCTCAAGTATTTGCGCAAGCGTATCAAAAATGTCAACTAAGAAACGTCAAAACATAACATAAAAATATATTTTTTTTAATAATTCATATATTCACAGCATCAGAAGAAAATTCAAAGAGTTCATGGGGCTAATTTAAATACTTTCAAATACTGATAACTTTATAAATGTGAATTATTTATTCACAAAGTAATACAAAAACAGAACATGTGCTGCCACACGCGACCAACAAATGAACTTGCTGACCTGAATGATTGCCCAAAAAACATCCCACAGACGCAACAGAACATGGCCGGTAATCTTCGAACAAATGTCTGTAACAAGGATTTAGTTAGAGCCCCTGCCACCGGTCGCGCTCTTGTGCCCGATCTTTCACTCATCGGATAGGAAATTCTACGCGGGCAATAAAATAATCTTCGAAAACGTTCGATCGTGTTGGTTTGCATTTGATTGGTTAAATTCAGTTGCGTTAGAAGTTGCGTTGCAATAAGTGATTAGTTTTATTCAGTGCGAGTAGTGTTAGAAGAAAAGCCAATAAGTCCAAGTGCTACGATTCCAGAGTGCAATAATACCAAAAAAATGCCAAAATGCATGTATTACCTGCGAGAAATGACAATGTACGTAAAAAAAATAAAATAGCCAAACAATGGTGTTCATATAGACGTTTCTCTTTACCGCTTTTCACGTTCAGAAGAATATTTAAAGGGTACTCCGCTCGACGTGATAGCGCTGCTTTTGGCATTCAAATTAATGGCGCAAAATTTGAAATGAAAATTAATGAATTTTAGTAATTGGGTATTTGAAACTGAATTTGTTATTAAAATCGTATTATGTTTTGTAATAATACAGTAATAACAAAAATATACTAGATAATATTATATTATAATAAATATACAATTAAATCGAAATATAAATCAACAAATACACTGTCGATTTATATATAATAGACATTACATCTAATCTACTGGAATAACTTCTACACTTTTCTACTTATTAATATAAATATTTAGTGAATAATGCATTATAGCGTTAGTTCATTACATCGTCTGTCATTCTTAACTCTCAGTAACTAATAATCATCCCGTGCAAAATTTGACATTCTTAAGCAATTCATTTTCTCTCAAGTATATTCATGTTCGTGTGAAGTGGTAATCCAATTTTAAACAACTGGAAGATTTCAATTTGTGTAATATGTCTTTCCTGTAGAATGTAGAACCTTATACTTGATTTCATACATAATTTGCTTCTTTCCTTAAAGTGTATTATGATTAGACTAATGTGTCAATGCACTACGTAGTAATTATGTTCTGCTGAAGCTGTTCTATTCATATTGTCAAAGAGCTATGCATTTGAGAGCACTTCCTAATGAAATCTTCATTAACAAATATACTAACACAAACAAATAAGAATCGCCATTTTGTAAACGGACACAAAAATAACACTGACGTTTTTAGTAACCAACATAAAACATTTGATAATACTTTTTCATCGGCTAACTTGCGCCAAATTAGCGACTACAACGGGAACCCTAAGTAGCCCTTCTGAATGAGAATTTTGTTCTGAGATAATAGTCCCTGATTCAAATCGGCATAGATAAACAAGTGCGAATCGTGTACTCCGTTCTCTCAAAAATTGAATTACCGTTTTTTGGCACTTTTTACCCCGTATCTTTGAAACGGCTGGACATGTCTCGACCAAAAACTAATTAGCACGTTTTCTCATCGATAGTAATCAAATGTTGTTTGAATCATTCAAATCGGTTGGTTTGTGCGCCTAAAATTGTGGACAAAATATTGTATCCAAACATCCACACACATCAATTTTTTCGAAGGTATTCAGATACTTTCATAACGTGAAAATATGCAAAAAATTTCAATTTCATGTAAATGCATTTACGGCTGTGCGTAAAAGCCTGTATTTGTATGCCAATACGATTATATACCTAAATAACATAGCATTACATTATTATGTTTCATTAAATTATGTTATATTATATGTTGTAACTGTATAAATTTAACTAAATATAGTCAATTAGCTTGAATATATAAATAAATATGTAATGTATTTTATTATTAGGATTACGACGCTCAAGATCTGCAAGAATTCGAGCAGACTATTTTGCGGGGAGTTGATTATGAAGCGGATGGAAAAATCAATAAGAAGGAGCTAACAATGATCCTCTTGGCACTGGCTAAATATAATCAAGAAGATGATACCCATGTATAAGAAGTAACTATAATCATTAAATTTCACCGAATTTCACAGAAAAATATTGTCAAGAATACAATAGAATGATAAATATATTAAAAATTAACTTTTATTCTCATATGAAACACTTTAAGAAAAAAAGACCTTAACTGTTCTGTAAAAAACAATATGAAAAAAATATCACGTTTGCAAATTATGAACATTTAAGTGCAATAAGAACTTTGGTGCAATAATGGCCATTTTTCGATTATTGTGGTTAATTCTTATCAATTTTATTTATTAAAATTTCAAATTTCAAATCGTAACCGTGAATAACATTTCTAGGATCACACTGTTATCATCACAGTAAAAATTCATATGTTGAACTTATATATTAAACTTATTCAATTCACTATTATCGCTTTACTAATTTACATTTATTTGTGTCAATCAGTCTTACATTTTTGCTCCTAAGCATAAGTTAAGTGTTATATAATATTTAATTAAATACATTTCTCAATCATAAATCGGTGTTGATTTAATAATGTACTATATGTAATAACATAGCTGCCAAATAACTTGTGGCAAAATATTAATCTAATAGAATATATAGATACAATATATTTTAATTCATAAATAAGCAATCTGTAAATTCCGTAAAATTTCTATATAATAAAATGCTGTTATTAGTATTAAACTTTCAATGATATTTATTGACGTCCTGTTAGATTTGTACGAGTAACATGGGTGAAAGGCTTTTGTTAAAAGCATCAAAACTAGCAATCAAAATTAATTGAGAATTTATATAATTATTAAACCAACAAAGAGCGCCAAAATATAGTTTGGATAAATTTTGATGATAAGATTAACAATTATATACTCATTTATATATAATAAACGAATATAATACTGTGCGACAAAAATGGCACTTTTATTCTTTTTCTTGGAACTTTTTTTTTTAAATCAACTTAAAATTACACGCCAATTTCAAATATAATTTCCATTTTTCCGTAACAGCTCTAGTTTTTTATCAAAGTTTAACAAATAACTAAGAGTTATATCTGCTCTTTTTGTTATGGATTTAACTGTAAGACCTTGTGTGCATAATTCAGATAGTTTTTGTTACATCTGAGGTTAATATGTTTTTGACAAATACCAGACACCTGTGTCGAACTGCGTAAAGGCATTGTATCTCTACCTCTTTAAAACCGAATTGTGCAATCAAGACAAATCATGGATAATTCGTACTACGTAAAAAAGTAGTGTTATATGTTTACTTCATTATCGAAAAAGAAAAAATGCTACATTTACAATAACCTCGTTATTTAGAAAAAAACCTTAGAAACACCCCGACGATTGTTTATTCTGGATGGTAAATATCAATGAAATAAATTCAGGCAATAGAAGCAAATCGTCATAAGCCACAACCTCAATGGTATTGAGGTCTACTTATGAACAGCTACATGACACCTATCCATGTTAATAATGAACAGCCTAGAACCATCAACATATCCTGTCTACCATGTAATGGATTTAGAAACCAACGTTAAAATAGTTGACAGGAAGATATAGAAACTAATATATTTGATGTAATTGATATCAGAACGGAATTTGAAAAATGTTGGAGATATTAGCGAAGAGAAGGGCAGGAGCATTCATCAAGACATCAGGATCTTCGAGGAGCGATATCAAGGAAGGTCAGACTTTTACTTGATGGCTGGCATTTGTTTAAACGTCTAAAAATCATTTTAAAAGAATTTTGAAGGCATATATATATATATATATATATATATATATATATACATACATATTTGAAAATTCTTGAATTTGATGTTGATATAATATGTTTTATTTGAGTTGAAAAGTCGGGCGTTACATCAATAAAAATAGTATGAGGGTTTTTAAAAATTTATTTATTTAAAATCCATACGTTTCGGCTAGCATCTTAGCCTTCATTCAGTGGTAATCAATTTAAAATTTTGTATCCTAATGTAACATATAAAACTATTATTAATCCATGGTATGAGTATGTGCACATTGATAAAATATATATTTTTTAACATCACAGATGGTAAAATACACAAATAAACATGATAACGTAACAAGTTGTCGAAACTATGTATTTACTGTGCGGAGTTTAAGATAGAAAATCTTTTCTATCTTAAACTATCACGGCTGGACTGACTTTTGCTAAAAACTAATCAGTACATCTCCCTATCAATAAGAATCAATTGATTTTAGAACTATTTAAATTTGTTGATCCGTGTGCCCGAAAATGTAAACAAAAAATTGTATTCATACATATGTGCACACTCACACACGCATACACACACATCAAAACGTGAACAAATGCAAAAAAAATTGATTTTGTTTTTTTGACGATTACACTAAGTTACCTTAAGGAAAGTTAACAAGTGCTAATATGTTAGGTCGATAATCTCTAACGTCTACAGTTTAAGCCACGTTTCGATCTTATCTATGTGTTCTTGCAGTAGCTGGGTAGCGGTGTAGAAGTTTTCATGCTGACCAATAATGCATGAAATAATATGTGTTGTATATTTTATTGTAATTTGAAGTGAAACTGATACATTGGCATATCTCCAAAACTAGAGCTGTTAGCTACAAATTTCTGTTTTTGTTTTTGGCATCAGCGTCCTCGAATTACTTAAAAACCATCATAACACCTCAGGAATTTTTTTTAGTGTCGCGCAGTGTTATGAGCAAAAGCTTAATATGATGTATTTATATTGTTAAGTACTAATTATTGTTGTTGTTGATGTTATTGATAATACTATGCTATATACAATACACACAAACACACACACACACACACACATATATATATATATATATATATATATATATATATATATAAAATTTTACTGTAATGGTGTATGTGAATATACTCCTCCTAAACGATTATTTGGATTTTGATAAATCTTTCTGAAGTTTGTTAAGGATTTTTTTAGGATGTATATGATCATAAAAATATAGTATGTTAAGAACTATTATGTATTTATATTAATATTTTATGTTTATCGCATTTTTATTGAAATATGTTTGTAATTTAATCTTGTATGTTCGTACCATTTTTATAAAACTTTTATAAATCGACCCTTAACCGACAATAAGGGTCGAATCAGGTAAAACTGATTAATATTGAGCGGTGGTTAGTTATGTTTGAACGGCCGACAAGGACAGATTAAAAATATCAACACCAAATAATGTAAGTTACAATTTAAAATAAAATCAATATATCTTAAAAAGTGTTTGTTTTTACATATCAAGAAGAGAAGCAATGACTAATATCTCCTCATTTGGTGGCAGCTAATTACGATACCTACTCCGAAATCAATAATGAAATAATGAAACAAATGTGTGTCTGAAAACAAACTTCAACCAGTGAATTCAAAATTAAGTGTTAATATATCATAATTGTGGTGATAAAATTGGCGCGTTTCTAAATAATAAACAAAATATAATTTCAAAAATAAAAAAAAAAACTTGTTCATATTGTCAAACGGACAGTCGGACGGAAAACGCAAAAACAGAAGACGCATCTAATAAAAACTAAATAAAGAGCAACCAAATAAACTCGCCCGGGCCCGTTCCGGGACGGACATTTTTGTAAGCAAAGATTCTAAATTAAATTTTAATTACACCTGTGATTCTGTAATTTTTCAATTGTTAGACATGCCAAATAATTTTAATAATTTTTTATTAGATAGCGGTAGTGATATTTCATTAATCAAACTTCATGCTATAGACAAAGATACTCTTGAATATCCGGATAAAAAAAAATTTAACTAATTGGAATCACGGCGAATTCACTTATCACTCATGATGTCTCTTATATTAAGCTAAAATTTTCAGATCAAATTGTAGAACATCCTTTTCAAGTAATATTAAATCTTCCTATAAAATATTCTGGCATCATCGGTGAAGAGTTTTTGATGAAATTTAAGGCTAATATTAATTACGACTTAATATCATTTTCTCTACAATTCAATTATCAAGTAATTACAACGCCATTAGGGTAGGGCGGGGCTAGTTGAGCAAATTTTTACTTAAACGGATGTAGCACCCCAATGAAAAGTCTCAATAAATTGCTATACGGCTCAATGGATTTGTTGTTTATCGCTTAACAAAAGTGTTAATACTATTTTTTGGTAATATGTAAAATTTAAAAGCTACAGCTGTTTAAATGCAAAAAGTCAAGTATGCTCAATGTACCCCATAGGTGGGGCAAGTTGAGCACTAAGAAAGTATAATGAAATCATAGGTTCAATGTCGATTAGTGATGAAATAAAATAAGTTTTTAATAACCAGTTCTATATTTATAGTCTTTATTGACAGAGAAAACAAAACTTATAATAATTTGCTTTGAATAACTAACGAAAAGTAGAATCAACAAAACAATATCGTATCTTAGGAATTATTTTACCATTATTTTCAGTATTTTTGTTTAAAATCATTATTTCTTTATATTATTACTCATAGAGTTAGCTTAAATCTTAAAAATAATAATTAATTTCTGGAAGTTAATGGTAATTGTCTTAGTGACAGAACAAGTTTAGGCACTATGCTCAACTAACCCCAACTCCGAATTTCACAATAAAAGTGAGTTTATAAAAAAAACGTGAGAATTATACCCAGAATCTCTGTGCATATTAAAAGTAGTATAAATATATGGAAGAATGCCATTTACCTGATTAAAAATAAATAACATTTGACTAAACCAGACGAAAACTCGTGATGAATTACGTTTTTACTTTTTGGTCTCAAAATAAACAAAACGGCCGTGAGCCTCACTCATTTGTCCAGCGGCCACTAGCGATCGCGGGATGTTTATTTCTTCCAAATCTCTGTCTTTCCGCCATATAATGCCTAAACGGGCGGTGAATAGTTTTCGAGATATTTCGATAGCTCAACTTGCCCCTATGCTCAACTAGCCCCGCCCTACCCTAGTAAATCATCAAAAAAATTTAATACCTTTGCGATCGGAAATGAGAATGAAAATAGATACTAAATTAACCGAA